CCTGCCCCGCAGATCACTCCCCAATGCCTCCTGCAGCACAAATTCCTATTCTTTGTGCGCATTTCCAGTGTTTTGGTGGTCCTGCAGGCCTCCCAACCCCTTAGCCCTCCAGATAATGCCGCCCAAGCCTCCACCTGGCATAGTGCCCGAATAGTGCCCGAAATAGTGCCCGAAATACTGCCCGAATGAACCCTTCATAGTGCCCAAATACATTTCCTTTCGTAAAGGAAGGAAAATCTCCTTTTTCTTCGCGAAAAATCATTTGGGCACTATGAAGGGTTCATTCGGGCACTAGTTCGGGCACTATTTCGGGCACTATTTGGGCACTATTCGGGCACTATTTGAAGGCGTCTACTATTCATGCACCGCAGCCTTGCCAAGTCCCTCCCAACACTTCTCCAGGCCTGAAAACCTCCGTCCAGGGCTTCCCTACCCTGCCACACTTTCGACGAGCTTTTACGAGCCCGGAAAACAACAAAAAACGTAGGACACATCAGAGTACCCCCACAGTAGTGCCCGAATAGTGCCCGAATAGTGCCCGAAATAGTGCCCGAAAATACTGCCCGAATGAACCCTTCATAGTGCCCAAATACATTTCCTTTCGTAAAGGAAAGAAAATCTCCTTTTTCTTCGCGAAAAATCATTTGGGCACTATGAAGGGTTCATTCGGGCACTAGTTCGGGCACTATTTCGGGCACTATTCGGGCACTATTCGGGCACTATTTGAAGGCGTACAACAAAAAACGTAGGACACATCAGAGCACCCCCACAGTATCGACATACGTCGACGGGTCACTCGCCTGGACTTCTGACTTGTGGGTTCGGCGTGTCCGATCGCAATGGCCTGGAATTGGACTTGTGGACTTTGGTGTGCACGATCGGGACACAACAGGACCTCGGAGTCGTCTGTTGTTCGATGGAACTAGAACGGCGGCCGGAGCCTTGATTTGGGCTCCACTGACGGTCTTGGGCAACTTTAGGCGACGGCCTTCTGTTGAACGCTGAGGACCTCCAGCATATGCTGAATGGTTAACCCCGGCAAAGCTTGGGCACCGTAGTAGCTAGCTCCGCTTTCTCTAATTAGGTACCTGTTTCACCGCTGTTTTGTTTTTGTTTGGTGGTTTGTTCGATTGTAGGGACCGAGTGCTACAGCCGTAGTAAAAAATATAAGTTGTTGGAAGATTCTCCATGGGATAAGTCTTTGAAATGCTCAGAGTTCTTGGAGGTCCGCTTGATGACTTCGATTCAAACTTGGCTGCTCATTGCTGTGTTCACTTCGCGCAATCTTTTGTATCACATCTTCAAGTCTGCACAATTGTTGGAATCTATCTTTGGCAGTCACTGGTTCTGTGTTGCAATTCAAAGTGGACGCAACATTCAACGCGGCAGACTTCATCAAGCCAATGCCACGCCTTACAGTGGTCGCGGCGTTTTACGCAGCAAGCCTTAGGGACTTTTTCTTCCATCTCTATCCGATTTGGCTTTCAAAAATGCTTCTATGCTCCGATTTTCGCAGTTCTCTTAAGATCTGTTTTGTTTTTTGCTGTAAGCAAGAACGGCAGGGTCACGGGCTGCATCCGCTTGGATTCATCACTAGGGGTCCTGCTGGCAGCAGAGACCGTCGAGGACCATCCTGCAGTTTCGATGTTCAAGCTGCCAAAAGACTTTAGCTTTGACTTCTGCTGAGCAGACTCTCTTTGGAGGGCAGCGTCTGGCCTTAAAGTCCATTGTTGGAGCTCTGTGCATCTTCACACCTCTAGTTGGTAAGAAAGAGAGAACATGACAAACCATGAGCAAGAGATAAAGAGAGAAAGAGCAAACGAGAAAGTGCAGCAAGAAGAGAAGCAGAGAGAAAGAAAAAGAGAAAGCACAAAGCAACACAACGAGAGAGCGAGAGAAAGTGGAAGAAAGACATCAGAAAGCAGCTCGCCAGTGGTCGTGGGCACGGGAGGCTGTTGCGGAAGCAGAAGATTGGACTGGAGATATCGAATGGTGCCAATAACCGTGTAGGCGACCAGGATCATCGCCGGATGGAATGGATGTCAAGATTGATGAAGTGGCCGCCTTCCGTTCTGTGGGCAGATCTCACGGAATTGTGGTTCAGATTCCTTACGGCAGTGCGCAGAGGGTGGAGGACGGTGATGCATTTGTCTCACACTTGTGTCAAACACCAGAATTCCAAGAGAATGCGGGTGCGTGTCTGGGTGGGCGACAGGAAAGGGTTGGAGAAAAGTGGTCGGCAAGCGTCCCTTCAACACAGTTGGCTTTTCAGACGACAGAGACCCTCGCATGGAACAGATCATGCGTTTTCACGTCCATTCGTTCCAGCTGAAGCACTGGTTCGGCGGACAAGACATGTTTTCAGTTTGTGGCCAGCTTCGCAAGTCTCAAAGAGACGGGGGGGTCACTTGGAAGGACATGTCTGCTTTTAAGAAGCCTTTTGTAAGCCTTGCCCCACCTCGTGTACAGGTGGCAGGCGAAATGAGGGATGTGGTCACGCTCGACTGAAAAAGACTTTGGGTTTGGGAAAGCAGGTTTGAGTAAGGTTGGAAAGCAAAAACGGAAAAACGCGTTTTTTGCTCGCTGGCGGCGCGCGCTCCGCGCGCGGTAATTTCTTTTTAATTAATAATTAATTACCGCGCGAAACGCCGCGCCCGGCCAATTCAACTCTGGGTTCGAGCACGGTGTTTGAACTCTGGGTTCGATTGAATGCAGGGTTCAACTTCCGTTCCAAATGTTTTGAACTCCAGGTTCAACTCGAGTTCCAATGTTGTGTTGCGAGTTATTCGCGGAATTCCTCCGAGGTGTTCGAACCCAGAGTTCGAACACAGTGCAAAAACCATGCTCGTTAACGACAGCACTCGTTTCCAGAGACTTCGGGTAAACACACGAAAACACAACTGAAAGGCGACTCAGCAAAGGCGTACATAGAGCTCAAATCCAGGTCTCTGGTGGCCGTTCTGATTTCCGTGGACAACGAACCACCCTCGTGTCGTGTCCAGAATTGGAGCCAGCCCGGTGTGGAAGATCACGGATTTCTGCCCTCTCGACCTGCATTGGTCAGTTGTCCGACGGGACTAGAACGGCCACCGGAGCCCTGGATTTGGCGCTGTCGTGGGTGGCTTTCGATGCCGATCCACTGTCCTCTGCTGAGTCGCTGAGCGAGGTCCCTTTTGAGTTGCTGAACAGCTCCTGCTAACGAAGTCCGCACGCTGCAGCAGGTGCGAAGTCTCGTTCGCTAATTACCCGTCTCACTACTGTTTTCTTGTATTTTTGTATGTTTCGCAGTTTCCAGGAGCTGCAGCTGCAGCCAACGCGCGCTGACGCCAAAAAAACGAGAAGTTTGGGGAAGTGTCTGGGTGCAAATGGATGCGATCTCACCCGGTTCTGTGATAGTTCGGGGAAAAGTCCATAAAAAGGACTCAGGTGCGAAGAATGGTGTTTGGGATTCGTTTGCGAACTCGTCTTCTTCGAGGTTGCCGCATTTCAATTTCCGCGAAGTTCGGAATCCGTTGGGAGTTGGGAGTCAGGGGGAAGGTGTGTGGGACTCGGGTGCGAACGGGTGCGACCCCGCTAGTTCGTTGCAGGCAGTCGCACCTTCCGCGAAGTTCGGAATCTGTGCAGTGAAATCATTGCCGAGGCAAACCCTTATTCTTCTCGAGAATCGGGGTTTGCTTTTGGGGGTGCAGGGGGGCTGGTGCAAAACCTCCATTCTCGGCTCGAGAACCAGGGTTTGCTTTTCATTCTTGGCCGACAACCGGGGTTATCTTTTGGGGGTGGGGGGTCTGGAACGTCGCCCGAGGCAACCGCCATTGTAGTTGGGGTTACGCATTTGAGCACCATTATTCTCTAGTTTGCCGCGGCTTTGTTGTTTCCAAATCACATGGGATGCATTGTTCATAATTTTTATGCTGCTGTTTTGTCAGGTTGATGCAGTGTGAAAATTATGGTCAAACCCGATACTCGTCGAGAATTCGCTGTTAACGGTTAATGTGTCAAGAGATGTGTTCTTGTGTCGACAGGAACATGCAAAACGAGATTGTCGGGTTTGAAACACCACGAGACGGATGAATATCAAAAACCCACGTTTTTTTGCAGCAACTGCCCAGCCCAAAAGAATTGATGGACAAGGGACTAGATCCTGACAACTCCTGCAAGTCAATGACCTCATGCAAACATGTGAAACAAGTTCACAACTTTGGGTTCCAACCGAAGAACGTTCATTAGTGCTTTCATGTGCATCTAACAGTCCGCAAAATGTTGATGCTTCACGAAGAGGATTCGCATGAAACTGATTGTGCAAACATCACGGTGCGACCACTGGAGCCCTTTTGTGAACATTCTTGAATTTTCAAAAGTGGTTGCATGCACGCCAACATACCCCGCAGCTGAGCTTGAGGCAAACTGGGTGGGTGCGGGAAAGGGAGGCAGGTCCCGGCGGTTTGGTTCTGAGTTGCTGATTTGTTGTCACGTCGACTCCGACCGGAATTAGTTCTGTTGTCGTCTCACTGAGGCGGGGGCCTGATACGGCTTGTCAGCCTCGGCTGCGCGCGGTCAGGCAGGCACATTCTTTTCGAATCAAAAAATCGGCATAAGTTTCTAGCATGTGCGAATTGATGGTTTCGTCAGTGTATTGTTTGTTTTCAGGCGCAGCCCCCCAGAGCGTCCGCCACTCAGACAAGAAACGTGTCTGCCAAGGCTTTGGGTTCAGGCATATGAGGCGTCTGTCAAATCCCAGGCATCATGCTGGAATAGCGGCCGTGACCAGGCGCACCCGCTGGCAGCAGTCAATGACAGTCATTCGGTGCACCGGTTAACAGCTTCTCGCGGATCTGGCCATTGCGGTTTTGTGTTGCAGGCCGCGCTAACAGCAGGAATCTCCTGCTGAAAGGGTTTGGAGGAGATTGTTTCGCAGCAGCCTTCAGATGCTTGATCGTGTGCTCCGTGTAAGCGTAAGCATACCAACCTTCGCTTTCAACTTTCGCAACTGAGGTGTCATCATGGGTATCTTGTTCAAATCACAGGACAGTTGGCTTTCGAAGACAGGTTGAACATTGCCGTCTGTTTGCAACTTTCCGTCAGGAACTGTTTCGCCGGATGGGCGCGCCAAGGTTTCCGAAACCGAGACCACGCCCCTGTTCTCCATGACGGTAAATGGTTGCTGTGACAGGTGCTTGCCGGTGGGCGTCGCCCGCAAGTCCACCAAGCAGCTTTGCTCTTGGAGGATGTGCATGCTACAAGTATCCCTAGCAAGGGGTCGATTCGTCATCCCCTTCGCCTGCAGCACTGAGGCCCAGCCCCCGCGATGCTGTGCAGAAGCCACTTTCCCAATTGAACAAACTTGGTGGAGGCAGTACCTTAGGCTTTATTTAATCCTTATGCAGAGTTTCAAGGCTCACGGATGAAGTGGAGCAGCTTTTGAGCAGTCCGAGCTCGTCTGAGTTCGGAGCCTGGCTTTCAAACGCGTCAGCGCACTTTTTGTGCCCATCATCGACGAAGGTCTTACAATACTGCATTCTCAGTGTGTTTCTCAGGTCGCCATCAAAGAAGACCGATGATCTTTGGAAAGATGTCGAGACCTGAAAACTATAACTAGCAGGCAAAGAGATGTTCTCTGCCGCACCAGTCACGGAGAACATTGAGGTGCACAACCATTTGCGCGCCATCTTGAATATGTTGAAGGCCGGCAGATGATACCTGGGGAAACCTCTTGAGCATGTCCATGTGATCACGTTCTTTGTTCTCGGCGTTACCGCAAGATCATTGGCTTAGCTGGCCCCAAGAGAAGTTCCATAATCACTGCAGAACTGGAATATTTGCCTGACAGTCAGTACCTGCGGAGACTGACGACATGCCGACAACATATCCTTAAATGCTTACGGCATGACCGCTTCTCCTGCGATGGCAGAGTTGGAGCCGCCTGAGTGTACGAACTCCGGGGGTCTCCAGGACGGCGTTCTTGACGGCAATCCTCCATTTCGACGTGTCTTTCCTTGCAGGATCAGCCCAAAGGCCTGAGACACAGAGCAAAGGGCCAGGCCAGGCAGGGTACTGGCAGGCTTCTCGAACGGAAGCTTGCCGTGCTGGTAGGCAGAAGAAGCAGCTCACATGCTCCTGACTCAGTGTGTTGCTGTAAGCATGCAAGTAAGTGCGAGTCTGCGTCTGTTAGTCATTAGTCCAAGCTCATCTCATGTTTGTGTCTTGCGAGGCAGCTTCCTTTGCCTCACTTCTCCCTAGAGACACCATCGAACTCAAGGGCAACATCGCCCAGGACTTCCAGGGCGAAGACCTGGAATGGTTGATTGTGCGATCCAGCCTCAGCCAGGAATGAGGGCGACAGAGACGCGAGTTCGCGCCTGAAAGGATTGACCTGGCTGATGTAGAGCTGCAGCTTGAGACAAACGGAGAAAGTGAGGGAAGGACTCACGCCAATGCCAAGGTCCTGCCATGCCGAGGTCTCTAGAAGATGCTCTGCCTTTTATCAGCTTTGCGCAGCAGAGATGTTTTCAGAATGCAGGAGTCCAAGTCCAGTAATGTTCCTAAGGAGCCTGGGCATGAGCACGATGCTTCCATCAACTTTGAGCACCTTGGCATGCGCTGGAGTTGCACGCTTCTTTTTTCGCTTCCTTGTGGCTGGAATGCTCTACCGCCCTACTCGAGGTGGCAGTTTGACATCCTGCCGCCTGGCAAGTTACGAGGTCTTCGTCGAACTTTGGGCGCTTGGTGAGGCATGGACTGGAATATGCCCATGGCATGAGTGAAGCTTCAATCGAGGAACCATCTGCCGCGGGACACGGCCCTGGCATTGATGGATTTCCTCAAGTCCCAGCAGCGTGAACTTTCCAAGACATCGCGCTACGCAAACGAGCTGAGCCTCGTCCGTAGCATGGTGAAGCAGCAAGTAAGGGCTTTTGCGGCTTTTGCTCGCAAGTTGCCGCTGGAACACGACGCTAAGGACACGCTCAAACAAAGAGCTGCACAAGCGTTTGCAAGAGAAGGACCAGATTCAGCGAGCAAGTGTTCGGGCTTGCGAGTGCGTCCTCCTGATCTGCGAGGACCAGAGGAAGCATCCCCTGTGCCGCTGCTGGGTGGGTGTTTCGATTCTCCTGGCCTTGTCGGTGTGCTTGCTGGCACTTTGTGCTACCCGCACTTTGGTGGCCGAGCAGCTAATGGATTCAGTTAGACCCGCAAGGGTGTGGGACAATCTTCCCTACTTCCTTGCCGATGATCGCTGCTCGCACTGCTCCTCGCCCTTCGGCAGATGCAGCCGTGGTCGGAGTGAACCCAGGCAGAGAGCTTCTGGCTCCCGTTTCTCAACGGCTTCCGGACGGTCTCGGCGAGGCGCGGTGAGGTGATTTGATTTTGAGAAAAATACGTTGGTCCAAGCCACGAAGGCATCTTTGGTTCCCCATGGTGTCGAAGCTGGTGCCGCAGCAAGTCCGCCGGAAGTTGATCGGTGGTCTCGCCAAACCCAGGTTTTCCAGCAAGGCGCCCACCGTTCCCTTCACTCTTGCAATCTCTTAGAGTCTTGTGCTTGTTTGCCGCAGGAGACGGGTCCGGCAAGATCAAGGCCATCCAACGCCGTTCGTAATCTGCCGCCCAGTCTCATTCCTTCTCAAGGAGACCACTGTGCGAGAGATGACTCTCCGTGAGACCACTACACGAGAGTACGATCCGAAGACGCCGGTTTGCACTTTCGTCTTCGTCTTCGCCTCGGCAGCCGGGGCAGTCTTGCAGCTGAGGCTCATCCAGCAGCTTCAGACCGAGAACCTGCAGATGAAGTTGCAACTGGTGCGACAGCTACAGCTGTGATTCCATAGATGGGTGCTGGTTGCTGTCTTAGCAAAGTGCGAGGTCAGTGGTTTGTCGTGTTTGTGCCTGATGATCAGACACATGACATGAAGACCTGACATCGACCAAGCAAAGTTGCGAAGACATCTGGATCCCAGTTCTGAAGCCTTGGAAGGAGAGACTTTGGCTTGACATCGACGATGCAGAGAAGAAAGGCCAGGACCACGTTTGCTAGGACCTCAGAACGGAATCTCGCTGCTGCACGCCGGCGCGCATCCGCATCGCCCCGACCCCGAGCCGAGGCTGGTCCCTGTAACGCGGGCTTTGTGCGCTCTTCTTGCCGGAGCTCTTCCGGGTCTCCACTGAAAGTGGTGAGTCGACATCCAATGGAGTCTTACAGAACGCGCCAACGCAGCACCTTTTCCGGAGCTCCAGGGCTTGGCCGCATTGGTGCCAGAGAGTTTCACAGCGTCGACCGACATTTGAATGAACGATGTGAAAAGTGCTCTCCGCCTTTGGTGCAAAATACTTTGTGGTGACTTTTGCTGCCTGGGAGGAGTTATCTGAAACCCACGGAAAGCCAGATGCACTTCATGGCCGAGTCAAGGCTTGGGCCGCTCGGGCCGCTTGGGACCGGGCGGGCCTAGGGGCCGTTTGCGACTTCAGGTCACGCAGGACCAGCTACGTGTTCTCGAGCAATTCCTTGCTGCAGATTTGCCAGTCGGGGCTCAGAGTGCCAGAGGATGCCAGAGGATGCCAGAGGTCACGGCGAGTGAGGGATCCTTGATGTCGGCTCGAGGTGCAGCTGCTCTCGCAGCTCAACAGCCTGGAGTTTGAAGTGCGAAAGGATCCTCTCGTCTGCTTTGGCGGTGGGCGCAGGCGCAGATGTGAGCACCTGAGTGTGGTCGGAAGGATGTGATGAATGTCTGCTGCGCCCTCCTCTGGCCGGACCTGCCCGAAGAGGTGGCTGCCCAGGCCAGGGATCAGACCCGTTCCTGTTTTGATGCGCCATCAGCTTTCAGCTTTCGGCAGGTCATGGATTACGTCCGGTTTCACCCAACCATCTTCTCGAAGCTGATGGACAGCTACGCGAACGAGGAGGTGACCCGGCCGCACTTCCTGACGAGCGAGGAAAGAAGTGGAAGTGTTGAGGCTGCCCTGTACTCGGGCGTGGTACTGCGCTCCTTCTTTCGATACGGGCAACTGGCTGTTTCCTGAGCGGGCCTGCAAGGGGGCTTGCCGGCTGACTGCTCTGGCTGCTGCTTCAGTGGCCGCAAGCCTGTCCTGTCGAGGTGGAGAGCTTTCTGACCAGTGGCAAGGTCTTCGACTTGATCCGTCTGGTCCTCGTCACCGGCTGTCCTGAGCGTCCGTGCAGCATTCCTTGGTTTCCGCCGCTCGTCTCTTCGAGGCTACGCCAAGCACCCCAGCATGGATGTCGCAGCGGATGCGTGGTGGCCTCAAGCGACAGGCTGCGTTTTTCAGCATCCTTCAAGCGTCCTTTGAACGGCAGGATCTATACACTTCGAACCGTCATGCTCGAACACAAAGAGGCAGCCTAAAGTCTTTGAAGGGAACTGCTTGGGCCACTGGTCACATAAGAAAGAATGCAGGTTTCAGGACCATGGCTGCAGGCCAACTACGAAGAGCCTGGACCCCGGTCCCAAGTGTCTGCTTTGAACTCCTTACCTTTGGGCCTTTGGGATTGTCGTCATGAGTCCGTTTCAAGGTTCTTCGTTCTGTACACCCCACTCCTTCAGTGCCAGGACGCACGTCGCACTATCCGTGACACATCTCGGAACCTGAGACGGTCTGCTTGGTTTTTTTGCAAGGATTATGTCGTGGAGCGGCAGGCCTTCTCACGCGAGCCACTATCGCTTCAAGCCTGCACGTTGCTCGCGGTGCAAAGGCATTAACACTTCTGGCGGCCATGCTGACGGACAGGAGTTATCAAAGGCCTTCGTGGAAGCCCACAAAGTAGCTGTTGCCAGCATGGCGAGGCAGATGCAGTATTTCAGTGGGAGGCCTATTTTCTTCAGGGTTTGCTTGTTTGCTTCCATTTGTTTTTTTGTTGCTTTCGTGGTTTTCTATGCTCTGCTCCTGGTTTCCCTTTCTACCTGCTGCTTTTGCTTGTTGTTTCCGTCTTTGTTTGTGCTGCTGCTTTTCTGCTTATCTGCTTTTCCGCTGTTCTTGCGTCCTTCTACCTGAGATTACTGATTGGTCTTACGACTTGCTACCACTACTAGTAGTAGTAGCAGGAGGGTAGTAGTAGTAGTAGTAGTAGTAGTAGTAGTAGTAGTAGTAGTAGTAGTAGTAGTGGTAGTAGTAGTAGTAGTAGTAGTAGTAGTAGTAGTAGTAGTAGTAGTAGTGACAGTAGTGACAGTAGTGGTAGTAGTGGTGGTAGTAGTAGTCCATATGGATCCTTTCAGAACCCGTGATACAGACGTGTTTGCAAATGCGGGGCCCCACCCAACCCTTGGTCTGTTTAAGCCAACCTCCACCTCAAGGGCCCGGGCTGAATCGCCACGTAAGACGGTGTGTTTAAGACATATGATGAACCGGAATTGCCAAATGAGGGGGGCGTGTTTCAGATAAATGATGAGATGAACGGGAACTGCCATATCTGATGAGATGAACCGGAGTCGCCACTTGACGTGGCGTGTTTAAGATGTATGACGGGAGGGGAATCGCCAAATGGGGGGTGCGTGTTCAAAATAGATGGTGAACCGGAATCGGCAAATAAGTGACGGCGTCTTTGAGATATATGATGAACCGGAATCGCCAAATGAGGGAACGCTTTAAGATATAAGATGACCCTAGTCGTCAAATGAGGGGACATGTTTAAGACGTATGATGTTTACCACGCCATAGTTGCAGCTGCTCTGGACCAGGAAGAACAAAGACAATTCCCAACAACAACAGATCCTAGATCACTTCTCGATCCATTCATTCAGTCTGCCAAACCGTCTCAGGGTTATGATGAGCTTCGTCAACAGCGAGCAGCACCTCAAGTGATGACCTCAGCGTAACTTTATCTAACTAGTTCTGTTGTGACAGAATACTGCCTGCCCAACGAGGATCTTCATGAACCTGTTGCTGGCTGACTCCCATGCCATCCAAGCAGAAGCATTTCATGTGTGACTGCCTCAGTCTTCCTCACCAAAGCGCTGGTCACCTTGAAGTCTAGTGCGAGGTTCAAGATATTCGTGGTGAACCCGCAGAAACCCGCGCGAATTCAACAGATCCTCGTAAAAAACAAGGACAGTCGACTTCCAGCTTGCTCACCTTGCACGTTCGTGTGTACGTGTTCCCAGCGCCTTAAAGCCAGGACAAACTCGTTTCGCTCCTCCAAAGCCTGCACGCTGTGCGGTGTGGTGCTTGGTTAATTGCGGTTACAATCAAAGCTTCTTTGGGTCATGTGAAGCGGTTTGCAGGACGGACGACACAAATTTCGCATGCGATCTGGACAAGGCAACCAGCTATGGTCTGATGCGGGCGAAATCCAAGCATGTCATCAAAAGATATACAAAGGTCATCAAACGCCTCCTGTCCATGACGATGCCTCATCCCTTGAAGCGGTGTGCCTGACACGGACTCCATGTCATGAGCTTGCGTCCATGTTGACCTGTGGGTACAGGTTTGAGCTCTTGTGACAGGCCGCATGTGAGTCATCTGAGCAGAACCAGCAGCTCAATCTCCGTGGCTACAACTTCATGTGATACGGAGAGCACAGGGTATGAGGCAGGCTTTTAAGGGCCTAAAAGCCAGTTTGCCTCTTTGGAGCTGGGTCCTCGCCAGAATCCGTGGGACCACCTCAAGCCCACGTTGTCGCCGCCAGCGGTTCTGCACTCAGGATGATGCAGCGGCGAGAAGCCCAGCGCAACCTTTCCGGCTTTTCCTCAGGTGCTCGCGCTCTAACCTCCCCGGGTCCTTCTTTGCGTCGTCGCATGAGACAGGGCCGAATCCACTTTGCAATGTGCAGAGGAGCAAACCGCACGTTGCTCCTCTGCCAAGTGGCCAAGAGCATAGGAAACCCGAGCGAACTGTGCTCAATTTTGCCACTGTAAAGAATTTCCATACAGAGTTGTGGAGCCCGCGATTTTGCCTGGCACCGTGGCCAGTCGAGGTGCGGTCCGGAACCTCAGCTGCAGATTATAGAGAGGCTGGAGTCACTGGAGGCACGAAAGGTTTTGGGGCTTGAAGCTGATCATCTCCGGAAAGACTCGTCTAAAGTCGTTCGCCACGATGAACACGCCACTCTTTTCAACCAGGTGTCCTCATGAAGTATGTCACGTAGTAGAGCTCCTGTCGAGAGTGCTCCGAGGACCCTTCCCCGAGCCTGTGGCGGGGCTCTGGGCCGAGCTCGGTGCCGAGGTGAAGCTCAGCAGCCTGGCTTCGACTTCTGGGCCTCTGGGCCCTTCTCGCAATTTCGGGGGGCACCGTGCAGCCAAGGCTCCTTTGCGCCTGGGGCTCTAGCAAGCCCGGGTGGTTTCACTTGGCCTGCTTTGCAGGATGCCTGTTTCTTTCTGAGCATAGCTCGGAGCATGGGTATTGAGGAGTGCGACAGCCAGAGAGCTCTGCAGTTCCGAGAAGTGCACGAAGGTACCAAGTTGTAGCTTCAAGCCAGAGCCAGAAACATGAGAGAGGCCAGCTGCCGCCACAGCTTTGTTTTTATAGATTTTTTGGTTCACGGCCGGCAGCTGGCTCTCCTGCGTGTTGTATCACAGTCGACTCAGCTTGGAAGTGAGCCTTGAGGGCGAGAGCGCAAGCAACTTGTGCATCTTCGTCCGAGGCCCATGCTTCAAATCCAGTGCCATGCATGCATCCGTTAATTTTGATACTGCCTTGGCAGTGTTACATCTTGAGGCGTCCCTTGCGAAAGCAGAACTAGTACCTAGCGATGACTAGGTTACCAGCCACTGTTTCAGAGCTATGGGGCAGCAAATGCAGCCTTACACAGAGCACCTATTTTTGTGAAGTCTGCTTTAGCAAGGGCTACGAGGCTCGTGGAAAGGTGGTCTTGGCGTCGCATTCGTGTGTTTGTATCTTCAGCAGTTGAGTCGGGCTTTACGTCTTTGGCGTCTTGTAAAGACGTGCGTGACGCCAATCCCACACGCTGGTTTGCATTCCAAGATGCTCCTGGCGGCGTGGGGCTACTCGGCTTTGGTTGGCCAGGACAGCTTTCTGGATATTGCAGTGCTTTCGTTCACAGTCGAGTTTCATGGACTGTTAAGAAAGACTCTTGTTGTTGCTGAGGTGAAAGCTCAGCAAAAGACGCGAGGCTTAACGGCCTAGGATTTGGAAATGTGCCAGAGTCCGCATTGGACATGAAGCGTCTGAGCACTCAGATGCTTGGTGCGCTTTGGCCATCCGGGTCCAACCCCGGGAGTATTTCACCGAGAGGCAAATCGGAGAGGCAAACAGACTCCCGGAGTGCAAGCGAAAACCATTGGCATTAGTAGAACGGGGTACCGGCAAATGTGTTCGATCTGTCTCCGCGGTGGAGGGAGGATTTTGTTTCACCTGGGAACTTAGATATGCAGATGGCACGTGTCTCTGCGGCGGCCACTCTTTCCAACAAGAAAAATCTTGAAGCCAAAGAATCGCGTCTGAACCCTTTACTGGAGCTGCCCGGAGCTTGTACAGCTTTCTGCGCGGCCGTACAGCTCAGAGGCATTGGTATGAGGCGATGGTAAGCGTTTTGTGCGCTTGTTTGAGTTTCAACTGTTGAATCTGAGTGGTGTGCAGGGGCAAAAGATAGTTAGAGCGATGTTGTCTGTCAGCCGTTTGTGTGTCTTGTGGTTCGATGAAGGTTGAAACTCAAATTTTGAGAACAGACTTCTGAGGCACATGCATCGCGAAGCCACCACTTGTAACACTTGTGGGAGCTGACCAGCTGAGATCAGTTTTGGCTTGATACTGGTAACATTCCTTTTGAGATCTGCTCATAGGCCTTTCGTGGTCTTGTTGCTGCCATCTTGTGTCTCATCTCTTGTTGGGTTCTGTCGGGTGGATGAAGGTGGCCTTGCAAAAGTCGGTGCAAGAGCAAGCCTTGATCCAATTCGGCGAGCGGGCGAGCAGAAGACCTGCCTGAGCTAAAATGAGCGTAGACCCCGGCAGAGGTTCTCGCTTTTGTGTCTGGTGGCAGACCCCTTTGCTTCCAAATTCGGCGCCTGTGGAGCCATGCCATCTTGGCTCAGAGCCTGTGCTCCATTTCAGATCCACGCCGTGGTCAGCGCTTTGCTCAAAGGGAGAACCACTTGAAGAGCCATGCTCTTGAGCAGGCCGTGTGGTCGATTCTGAGGCAAACTACTTGCCTTTCTACAACACTAGAAACAGAGCTGCTTGCGTCGCACCCGCAGCAAGCCTACGTACCAGACTGCGCAGTATGCTGGCGCATTCGTCCATGCACCCTTTGCTAGGTCACGCATGTGGCTTGCGAAGCAGACTACCCGTACCATTGAAGCTTCATATGCTGCTCGACCTCAGACTTTTCTGACCACTCTCCAGAATGTCATGGCACTTGAGGAGTCTTGTGATCATCTGAGGTTGTTGTGTTGCTTTGTTTCGTGCCTCTGCTGGAATGGCATGCAACAAGGTTTTAAGCTCCCGAGAACCGGGGATGAGCGCCTTGCAGCAACTTGCAGGTGCTTTTCATGCCCTTCTGCTTCAAGGCCGCGGCTGACAATTTGCTCAGTTTTGTTCCGTGTTTTGACGTTTCGCCGTCACTTCAGGTCATGCCGAACGAAGAGACTGCAGCGGCTGGAGCGGCGCTGCAGGGATCTCGGCTCTCGCTTCATGCTTCCTGGAAGCATGCCTGCAGCTGCCTGCGGATTTGCGACGCCGAGGCCAAACTCCTGCCTAGAATCAGGGAATAACCTGTTGGCTTCCGGCCAAATACACGAGCCTCTGCGGCACTGATTAGGCCCCGTTGTGATGTGCGGCTCTGTGGACTCAAGTCTGTCCTCCAGCGGCTGCTAAGGAGGATGGTGAGGCAGCGCAGCGAGAGCCGAGTCTCCACATAGAGCAGGCGGGGGCCGCGGGAACCCTGAGGGCCCCTGAGACCGCTTCAGCCATCTTCGCCATCGTGTTCGCACCGATGTTGGCTCTGCAGGCTTGCATTGGAAGGACGGACAGCGTAGTCTCGCCGTTGTTCGGGGCTCATCTGCCAATCTTGTATTCTCCAGTGAAGTTTCCTGAGTCTTCAGGTCCATGCTCATAGCACTGATTGGAGGTGTGACGGGAACACTTTAACTTGAAAGACTGCAGAGATCTACCCGTTCAGAGCCGCAGGTGGTGTATTCAGCTTGGAGGCGTTTGAAGCCTTTCCGGTTTGACAGTCTCGGGCTTAGTGCGGCCAGAGGGGCAGCTTGCGCTGCAGAAAAGCTGCCATCAGGTGAGCAGAGACCTTGTGAAGTGTTGTAGCCTCTTGTGTGAATTAGCCGTAGCCTAGCTACAGCTTGCTCTGTCCTTTCCGCCGTGAACTGTAGGGAGTTCAGGCCGAGACTCCTTGAGGAGCAAACTGATGGCTTGCTTAGCGGATCGGCTGCCGCAGGCTAGCTTAGCCGCTGAGCCTAGGCCTAAGCGTTAGCAATGAGTCAAGTTGCAATCGTCTTCTGTTGGAGGCCGAGATTTGCAAGCAGCATCGGTACATCTTTTGCATTCTGGGCGCTGGGTGTGTGCTAGCAGTCAAGCTGACAGCACTGCCACAGAGCCTTGCTGCAGGGAGCAGTTGAAAAGATGATCTCTGACCCGTGCACCTGTCGACAGTACATGAAGCATACATGGCCGATGTTGAAGACGCAGGCTCAAAGTCTTCGCCGTTCCCAGATCCTGTAAGTTTCTGCTAAGCACACCGTCGAAATCAGCATTGCAAACCCGAATACCGGTCTTCTGAGCACGAGATCGTGGACTCGCTGATCTCGATGGCATCCTGAAGCATTTCCGAGATGCCGCCGCAGAGCTGCAGCACAGCCCAAGCCCGCCCTATAGCCTTGCCCTGCAGAAGACATCGCGGAGAGCTTTACCGACGGACATCAAGTCAGTGAAGGTGCATGGCATGGCATGGCATGTCCAAGGAAGGAACCTCCACGAAAACCTGAGAGAGCGGAAGAAGCGGCTTTGGAAGTGCCATGAGCCGACAGAAGCAAGTCTTGCCACCGGGGCATTTCAGCCGCATCTACAGGCCCGGGGCAGTGCACCAGCTTCAGAGCAACCGGAGAAGAGAAGCCGTGCAGCCGTGCTTCAAGTTGTTCATGTGAGGATCATTGGGAGAGTCGTCGGTGCTCGAGGTTTGCCGAGACCTGCCTGCAAAGCCTTGGTGTCCACTTGCTGCGACAATGCGAGTTGCGGTCGCGCCGAGGAATACCGACGCAACAGGAAAGTCGGATCCGTACTGTGTGGTCAAGGCGCCTCTCTAGATCTCCTGAATCGTTGACCTCGCTTCTATGAGAAGCAGGGCATCCGGTCCAACAACCATATGGTCAACATCTATTGCACCAGAACAGTGCAGAGCCTTGGTGGGCCAAGAAGTGAGAAACGCAGGTACTCGTACACACTGGGAAGAAAAGCCTTCAGCACATCTGTCGCAGAAACTGAGGAACTCGCTCTCCCCAATATGGGAGGACCCGAGGGGTTGGACTGAATGCGGCGAAGTTCCAATGGAGCCGTCAGTGCAACTTCATCCCCTCCAGGAGGAGTTCGACTACCGCATCCCGCCCGAGTGGGGGTTGGTCGAGCTGGTCGGCTTGAAGGTAGGGCGGCCGAAAGCTTTTCCGTTCCCTTGGAAGTTATCGGGAGATGGCGCTCCCATAGTTCTTGCCCGTTGAATCACCAGCGGCATCCCGAGACGTGCTAGAACCGGCGAGCAAGAAAGCACCTAGCATGAGGCCACGAGAGTGATCATCATCGCGAAGAGA